GAAAAGTTTTTATAAACGTAGGTCTTAAAACGCTTCGTTTGTGAGATATAGGGTGTTGAAAACAAACTTTTTTTAAGAATTTTTCTTAATATCTCTAAAAGACCAACATATATTGAACTGAAATTTGGTATTAATAACACATTAGTTATGGTGAATAAAATAAAGATATCTGTTATCGATTTCACCCACCAGTGACGTGCCTGAGGTGGGTTACTACCCTCTTTAAAAAAATAATTCGTACGCCCGTGAATTTTTCTGGAAAATAACATCATTTCTAAATTTTTTAATCAATTCTGAACAAAACAGATCTTTTCAATATTTTATAAAATTAACGGTTTTTGGTTAAATTCATTTGGAAAGAAACTGTTCCAACGATATTGGTACCTGGTACATTTGTGAATTAATAAGAAAAATATGATGTGCACTGAAAATCAACAAAAACGATTGAATAAATAATAACAGTTGATAGAGAATCATTTTTTAATAAGAAAAGTTCCTATAAACATAGGTCTTAAAACGCTTCGTTTGTGAGATATAGGGATATAAGACCAACATATATTAAACTGAAATTTGGCATGAAAAAACAAACACAGAACTTAAAAAAAGAACTAATTGACACACACGTTACACAATGTTTGCGTTCTTATGTCAACGTTATGACATTTAATCGTTTTTGTTGATTTTCAGGGTACATCATATTTGTCTTATTACAAATGTATTATCAATATCGTTGGAACAGTTTCATGCCAAATGAATTTAACCAAAAATGTTCATTTTATAAAAAATTGAAAGAGATCTGTTTTGTTCAGAATTGATTAAAAAATTTAGAAATGATGTTATTTTCCAGAAACATACACGGGCGTACGAATTATTTTTTTAAAGGGGGCAGTAACCTACCTCAGGCACGTCACTGGTGTGTGAAATGGATAACAGATATCTTTGTTTTATTCACCATAACTAATGTGTTATTAATACCAAATTTCAGTTCAATATATGTTGGTCTTTTAGAGATATTAAGAAAAATTCTTAAAAAAAGTTTGTTTTCAACACCCCATATCTCACAAACGAAGCGTTCTAAGACCTACGTTTATAGGAACTTTTCTTATTAAAAAATGATTTTCTATCAACTGTTAAAATCCTACTACAAAAACTGACTCACCCTGTCCAAGTGCTTCATGACGAACTGTTAAGTACATACTGTAATGGCAGGTTTACATTTGTAAACCAAAGTTTATACGAGTATAAACTTTTAAGCTTATTTTTCTTATAATGTTTTTGCATTTTTTCATAGAACGCCCTGTATGTATTAAGAATATATCTAAGTATCTTCTATATTACAATTCCTTCCTTTATCTGTGCACTAGTTTGAATTATTATCTGAAATAAATCTTTCAGTATAATTATTACATTCACGCATAATTGCAACTAAGCTATATCTATAATTAAATCCATCTGATAAATTATAGTGTGTTAAACGGAATATTCGTAGAGTAAATTAAAACAAGGAAATTACTTGTGTTCACGTTTGGATGGCCAGGTGAAAGTCGCCAAAAACAAGAAAAAATTCTGCAACCCTTCAAGACTACGACAGAGCTTCCTTTTTCTTAAAAAAACTGTTGCGGAAATAAATGTAGATATTTAGTATTATTTTTGGCGGCTTGAAGGGTACTTTTTTCGTGTTGTGAAAGTATCGACCGCGACGATAGTCAAATTCAGTATTTTTTTCAATAATGAAAGGTCGTATTTTTAGATTTCTTTTATAAATAATGATTACTTACCTATTAATAAAAAGAATAGTAGTTTTGAACCCTAATTTAAAATATAAAACACAAGACCTCATCATGTGTAAGCGCAGATGTCTATGTAGAGAATTTTAATGTGATTGGATTTTTGTTATGCAGATTGTTTCAATGTCGTTTCATTTTTTATTGTTGTTTACAATTATTACCTTGACTTGCTTGTTGAACACAAATATCTCTATCTCTTTGTTATCATTAAATATATTGAAACAAACTGTTTTCGAATATCGGTTAAACAGCATACAACGCAATGGAAATTCTACGTATTAACATTATCTATTCGTATATATAGTTTTAGTCATATGAGTGAATAAATCAGTTACTCACATTGTTAAGAGTCTAAACCATATGAGTAACTTTAGACTATAATTATTATCTAATTATTTGTCAGTGAACTAAAAAGGATTGAAGTTGATTAAGCAAGAAAGATCAGTTTAGGATTATTTTTATTAAACATTTTTATTATACCATGTAGTGATTACAGGCAGTTACTTTGCGTATGAAAACTTCTAAAAGTAAACCGTACTTCTAGTTTTTGGTGCCAGTTTTGGTTTCACCAACATTGTGCGTAATATTGCTCGAGGTTAAAAATGTTGTAAGCATCAAAAGAATAGCCAACGGAAATCAACTGATGTTGATCCGTCTTTCAGAAAGTTAAAGATCTGGTGTGTGCAAATCGCTGACTGACTGTAAGAGAAATTGCAGAAGAGGTTATTATTTGAATTGGGGTCAAATCATGACATTTTGACTGACAAATTGAACGTGCATCGAGTTGCAGCAAAATTTGTTTCTTGTTTGATGACCGAACAACAGAAAGAAAATCGTGTGGACGTTTATCGGCAACTCCTTGAACAACCCAATGACAATGAAACATTCATTCAAGGGATCATAATGAAAACTGAGCTTATGGTTACGACATTGAGACAAAAGTTGAATCATCACAACGGATTGGCAAAGCTTCTCCATGCCTCAAGAAAACACGTCAGTCTCAATCGAATGTCAAAGTGTTTCTTTCGACTTTAATGGAATTGTGCATTTTGCCTCAAGTTAAAACAGTGAATCGTTTGTACTATCAAGGCGTTTTACAAAGGTTACGTGAAAAAATCCACAAAAAGAGATCAGGGTTGTAGCAAGACAACTCATCGGTCAAAAATCAGATTACTGTCCTCCCTCACCCTCCTTACTCGCCAGACCTGGCTCCTTGCGATTTTTTCTTATTTCTGAATTTAAAATCAGTGCTGACACCTTTTTCAGACTATTGATGACATCAAAGCAAATACGTCATCGACTTTAAAGGCCATTTCAAATAAAGCTAAAGCTTCGCAAAATGGAAACACCGCTGAGAAAAGTGTGTGCATAGGAGAAGGGAGTACATTTGACAGATACAGGGACCAGTAATATACAGGGTGAGGTTTGACTACCTTAATTTTAAGAATATTTATTCTGCAAACTTTGATTGACTACATTAAAATAAACGCAAAACCTTATATGACATGGGTTCTAAACTCAACCATTTCCGAGAAAAAAAATATTAAAATCTCCAACTTGATGTACAAAAGTTCGATTAATTAAGGAATATTGACATAACTGCGCGCATAGAATACCATAAAATGCATTGTTCATCGCATTTTTGAACTTCTTTATGCTTAATTCTAAAAAATAATTAGCGTTGTAATAAATTTTAAATTGCATAAAATTCATATCGAGAGAATGTGACAACGGCGCGGCGGTTTATTAATACGAAGTACTACCACCCACCAATACGAAATTCAGTTGGTATCTGGATTCGACCGTGTAGGAGTGTTTTTTGCGTAGCACTATTTCCTTTTCTTGAGGTGTTTTCCAGCGAATGTGCAAAAATTGGATTTGAAGCTGTCGTGCATGCATCGAAAATGGTGGTGGGACATTTTGAGCATATGTTGTACTTTGGATTGTACTTGTACGTTTAAAAATTACTGAATTTTGCTTTTTGGTAAGTCCCTAAATTATTTATAATACGTATGATTATTTGGACGACATGAATTTTTGGGTACTTTAATTACATATTTTTCAAACTCATAATTTAATTAAAAGTTAAGTTCCTTTTTTAAGAGATTCATATTACTAAAATTCAAGGTAAAATTTAATCTCAACACTATCTTCGTACTATAAAATGGATACATTTTATTTTATTTATTAAAAAACTGGAAAACAATTGTCTTGAAATTTACTAAATGTTTCGCAATAATAGTCCCTTACATTTTTTCCGTAGGACAAGTCTGCCGCGTGCACACGTGGTGTGCATCAGCAGGTTAAGCGCTGTTGTCACGTTGTGATGATTCTCCCCAATATTAATATTCGCTGTATTTTGAAAACTGTTAAACTTACGCCCCTGTAATATACAACTTTTTTGTTCATTTATGATTACTCTATCTCATGCTGAAGTAATGGAGGTCAAACTTCTTACACCTTGTATAAAATTAATAATAAATTAAAAAAAAATAAAGGTCCGTTATTTTCTGAATAGAATAGAATAGAATAGAATGGAATAGATGTAGTTTAATGCTGAACGGGCATTAAGGCCGCAGAGTAGTTGTACCTCATAATCTTACTAATTAAAAAGAAAATAATGTTGTGAAAGATGTGATTCGAATTATTCCGTGAAATTGGATCCTTTTGGCGACAAATAAAACGAATGAAGTGTGTGTTATAGTGGTTTTTATATTTCTATTTTTTTCAGTGTAAGATTTTTAGTGTGCAGGTACCCAAATACACAAAGAAATTAATTACAAACGGCTTTTCATAATAAAATTTTAACATTTCTGTAATATTCAATAATAATAATTCATTATTCTGATCCGAATCACGTGTATTTTAAAAATAATAATTATATTAAAATTTAAAATCACTTTTATTCATATAAAGGACAAATTAGAAAAAAACTGCACCACTATGAGTGAAGTTGAGAAAAACTTATTTATAATTATTTAAATAAGAATAAATCATTATATTCTAACGCCATTGCTTTCCGCAACATAAATTTAGAATTAAATATTAGTTATCTAAGTTAGTTTTACGAAACAACGCTCCCGATATTTTCTAGAGCGAAAAATAATATGTAGAAAGAAAAGGTTTGAAAACGTTGGTGACAGTTTCTGTTTAAACTAAATCAAATAGTAAATTTACAGATATCGCAGATAATAAATAAATAAATATTATTACCTTAAGTACAGCACAGCACCAGATAGGTAGATACAACAAGAAATAAAATTTCTATACTTTTGTTAAGAAATTCACTTTTTTATATTCTGAATGTTTTTAAACAGCCTTTTTATTCACACAGTAATCGACTGCGATATACGTTTCAGTAACATGTCTGTAAGTACTTCTCATAGGGTCGGTATTTAAAATCTGTATATATGTATAATAGTCCCGTTCAAACACAATGGATGTAACTTTGAATTTTTATCAAAACTAGTGTTCTGCCGATGATTGCTTAATTACTTCGACAACATAATGCGTTTGTTAAGTATAACTAATTCAATGTTCATGAAAAATATTTTTACATATACGAATTATTTTTTTATTGTACAAATGGTTTCTTAAAGTGAACTTTTAAGAATAGAGCAAAGGGGTACTATACTCTATTATTACTGGCAATAGTTTAACTGATCGATTACTAAATAAATAATGCTCACTGCTTTTTGAAAAATACAAAGGATTTATTTTTTCTGAGATTACTTAAGTACCTATTAATAAAACAATACATGTGTCTTAGAATAATGGAAATGTCGAAATGCAATGTTATTATTCCATATTACTAGCAACAAAATATATATTTTGACAAGTGCTGTTTAATAAATTGTCACAGGGATCATGTCAGTCAGCAAATTCTTACAAACATACATTTTCAAAAATGGACATTTATTAAAAACAGGTAAGAACTAAAAATTTTCACAAAGTATTTATTGAGATATTCTGAAGAAGATAGCACCATTAGTTTTCTTTCCGATTTCTTTGTAAAACCTTACCTATTCTTCTGATGCCTTCTTTATACAAGAAAATCAAAATAAATGTTATATGGGTGCCCAGAACTGAATGGGTTATGATTCATGAGTAGCTTCCTCGGATAAAATATAATTGGATAAAATACATAATTTAGATTAAGTTTGTTTAATACAATTTTGTTTCCTTAAAATGTCGCAGGCCTTCAAAATAATTCATCCAACACTTGTATACAGGGTGTAAAAAGAGTGTAAAATATTTAAGGAGGTAATAGTATGAACCAAAATAAGCAGAAAAGTCTCAATAAACGTGGGTCCGCAAAGTAACGGTTGCTGAGATATGGAATGTTTTATGTTTTTTAACCCCTTTTTTATTTTGCAAAAACGTTGTGTATTTTCTTATAATAGTTGGTTGATGTTTAGTGAAATAAACAGTACGTATTTGACAGTTGTTCTCAGTGCACAAGTTTTCTTTCGCTATGGCTGGTTACTCTAACGCAGAATTAACAGACATGCATTTCATGTATGGTCGTGCTAATGGGAACGCCACCGAAGCGCGACGTCTTTATGTTGACGCTTATCCAAATCGCCAGATTCCTTCACAACGCATGTTTGGAAGAATTCACCAAAGATTGCGTGATACCGGTTCCTTGAGCAAACAGTGCCATTTATCCGGAAGACCAAGGTCGGTATCCACTCCTAGAGCAGAAGAAGAAATTCTAGCACTGGTAGAGCAGAATCCAGGTACGAGTGTGCGGAGAATATCAGCCGAGGTAGGAATTAGTGGTCCTCTTGTTTGGAGAATCCTTCACGAGCAACTGCTTTATCCATACCATGTGCAACGAGTACAGGCCTTAAATCCAATAAATGATCATCAAGCACGTTTGGTTTTTTGCCGCTGGTTTCTACGTCATGATGCTGAAGACCCTCGTTTTCTTGCAAACATTCTTTTTACTGATGAGGCCGGGTTCACAAGAAATGGAGTGTTTAATTTTCACAATACGCATATTTGGGCCGACGAAAATCCTCATGCTCTAATAGAATCTGGACATCAGGCACGTTTTTCATTAAACATTTGGATGGGTATTGTAGGTGACAGGTTTCTAGGTCCTGTTGTTTTACCAAACCGATTAACAGGCGCTGCTTACCTCAACTTTCTGCAGAACACACTGTATGAGTTTTTGGAAGACATTCCTTTGAATCAGAGGCAACAAATGTGGTTCCAGCATGATGGTGCTCCAGCTCATTTTTCCATGGCCGTTAGAGAGCATTTACACCAAACTTTTCCACATAGATGGGTAGGAAGGGCCGGACCTGTTTTATGGCCTCCAAGATCGCCTGATCTGAACCCTCTAGATTTCTTTGTTTGGGGATATTTGAAGACATTAGTGTATGGTACTCCTGTAAATAGCCTGGAAGAGCTGCAGCTACGGATTAATCAAAAGTGTCAAGAAATCCAAACCAAGGAGGGTGTTTTCGAAAGAGTTCGAATATCGTTGAGACGAAGATGTCGTGCCTGCTTGGAAATGGACGGAGGGCACTTTGAACATCTTCTGTAACTTTGTTTTTTGTTTGTTAAAAGCTTCCTTTGTCGGTTTATTCCTAATAAAATAAAATGTTTGAAAAACGAATAGTGGTCCATATCTCCGCAACCGTTACTTTGCGGACCCATGTTTATTAAGACTTTTCTGCTTATTTTGGTTCATACTATTACCTCCTGAAATATTTTACACTCTTTTTTTAACACCCTGTATAATGATACTATAATTTCCTTGGTTTTAAAGGAATAATGTGGCCTATGACTCACTAGTGAGTTATAAATCATAAGTCTCTAGTGAGTTATGAAACCCTTGGTTACAGGCACAATTTAGGTTCACTCGCCTCCTTTGTAATATTTAAAAATATATTCATTTCGTTAAATTACTTTTTCTGACATTGACAACTTGAAATTTTAAGTTACTTTCATTTATTATTAAAACGAAATTCTACGAAAGTGTTGGATAAGATTTTGTATGGCACTCGTGTGTTATGTCTTATAAGTCACTTAGGAAAATTAACCCTCTTAGCGTACGGCCTCGAGGGCTAAACATTTTCCAAATATACCGGGTGTCCCATTTTAAAAAATACACGTGAATATTGCCTAAGTTAAGGGCTTAATAAAAACATTTTTCAAATAAAAGTTGTAGGGTTTTGAGGGGGACATCTAATGGTGACCTTGACCATGACCTTCAAGGTCATTTCAAGGTCAAGTTGATTTTTTCAAATGAAAACATATTTTTGACACCAGAAATGAAAAGAACAGAAAATTTTACATCCGACTATGGCCTTGATCATGACCTTCAAAGTCATTTGAAGGTCATTTTAGTTTTTGTTGCAAAATTCTACTTTTGAGACCAGAAATGAGAAGAGCGGGCCATTTCACGGTCATCTATGACATTGACCGTGACCTTCACGGTCATTTCAAGGTCAAGTTAATTTTCAAATAGAAACCGGTATCTTCCAGACCAAAATAGAAAGTGCGGATAATTTTGCTTCCGGATATAACCTTGATCATGACCTTAAGTTTCAAAAGTCATTTGAAGGTCATTCTAGTATTTTGCAGGCAAAACTTTAATCTTGTTCATATATTTTTTTTTTTTGATATGTGGGGCTCGCCATAATTTTCCAGAATACCCATTAACCCTTTGCAGCATGCATATGCATATTCAAATGTTTTTGAACTCAGATTAGCTCAGATTTTAGTAATAGTTAAATCCGATACGGCAGATCCAATATGTCGGATACTCGGCTCGACCTTGAGTTTTAACGTAGGTTGAAGCATTTTTAAAGTACTCGTATTAATCCATATGCATATTAAAAATGTTTACCAAAAATTGGTCGGCCATATTGGATTTGAATATTTTCAAATTCTGATTTCATATTCGCGATCAGCGCCTCGAAAACCCCCGAGTACATTATTCGGTAAGACGGAAATGAATTTTGCAACAAAAAACTAAAAAGACCTTCAAATGCCCTTGAAGGTCATGTTCAAGGTCATAGTCGGATGTAAAATTTTCTTCTCTTTTCATATCTGGTGTCAAAAATATGTTTCCATTTGAAAAAATCAACTTGACCTTGAAATTACCTTGAAGGTCATGGTCAAGGTCACCATTAGATGTCCCCCCTCAAAACCCTACAACTTTTATTTGAAAAATGTTTTCATTAAGCCCTTAACTTAAGAGATATTCACGAGTATTTTTTAAAGTGGGACACCCGGTATATACCGTAGCTCACTAGTATTATAAATACCATTGTTTTAAGTCATCTTTGTAACTTGCAACTTTACAACTTTAAAACAAGGAATACCTGATCCTGATACAATATTTATTTTTTTGCTTTTCTTTTGTTAGTCAAGTCAAATTATTTATTATAAAAGAGATATTCCTATTTCATACTTCAGTTTTCTATTAACTACAAAGATTCCATATTTGCACCAAAAGAGTACATTGTTAAACCTACGAGGCATTTCTACAGAGTACTCAATTTAAAAAAAATCGAAACGGCATCGGCAGTATATTTATGAAAAATTTATATATTCAGGTAAGGTACATTAAACACTATTTTTCGACGTAGTTCACCCTAAATGCCGGATGAATTGTGAGCCGAGGGATGAACTTTCTGCTACCTTCATCAAAAAAATCTCCCGCCGCCTCTCGGGCGCATTGTTTCACAGTACTGTGGACCTCATTGTGGATAGACAACTGTTTTCTACCTATAAACACCTCCAGAGAAGAGAAAAGATGAAAATCGGAAGTTGCCAGGTCTGGACTGTATGCGGGATGATTGATGATGTTTCAACCGAAAGAATCCATAGTTGCTTTGTGGTATTAGCTGTGCTTGGATGTGCATTGTCATGCAACAAGCATACTCTCTTCGTTAACATTCCTCTTCCTTTGTTCTGTATCGCCCTCAACAGTGTTTTCAGAGTTTTACAGTATCGCGTAGCATTAATTGTATTACTTTGAAGCAAACAGTCAATGAGGATAATCTCTTTACGGTCCCAAAACACAGTTACCATAATTTTTTGGACCGAAACAACGGTTTTCATTTTTTTCGCGAATGGTGAAGACGGATGTTGTCACTGTATTGATTGTCTTTTTGTGTAGTGGACCACCCACGTTCAGTCGCCAGTCACAATAGTCAAAGAATTGTCTACCTTCCGGTTCGAAGCGCTCGAGAAATTCCCGTGAAGGTGCAGTTCTGTTGGCTTTGCGTTGATCCGTGAGCAGCTGTTCTGGTACCCACCTCGCACACAATTTTTGATAATGAAGTGTTTCAGCAATGATTTCATGCAGAAGAGATCTGATTGTGGAAACACTGCATCTTGTCCAAAGTCAATTGACGG